GAGGCGGGACTCGAACCCGCGATCTTTCGGTATGAGATCGCTACGGCACTACTGCCTTAGCGATCTCGGCCACCGGATTTGCATGTTACACCTCCTGCCTTATAAAATGAATCTTGTCAACGGAGGTAAGCTCATTTCCGAGACCACGAGCCGCGTTGAGGAGGACGTTCGCGAATTAATTAACAAGTTTCATTTTATAAGACAGCAGGTGTAACAACGACCTAATGTCATCGGCCACTATAGAAAAATTGAAGTATAAAAGTGTCACGTTTTTACTCAAAATTAATAGTTTATAATAAAAATGTAATTATAATTGAACATTACAATGTAATTATGGTTGAACATTATTATTATTATTATTATTGTTATTATTATTAGCCCGTTTAATCCCTATTACGGCAAGGGCCTCTTACAGAGGACAAGGAGGCTTACATTGAACATTGTAATATAATTATGCTTGGATATTACAATATGGTATATGCTTATATCCGCACCTGAAACGATCCTACCATTCTTTCCTATGTGCGATTCGCCACTCTTCTCCGCGCCACGTCGTCGTACGGTTTGTCGTAAGAAACCAGAGTTGCTACAAGCTGGCACAGCTTTCTCGTACCAGATCGATTCCTATTGTCTTTCGTCAGGGCTAGCATTTTGTCTTGCCTCATTAGACCGGGAGCCAGCAAGAAAAGCCACATATGATAAGCTCAAAGCTAAAACTTTTTGAGAAATTAGCAAGTTTTATGGGGAACAGGGAAACGTATGGCGGCGTGTAGGTGTCCGAAATCAGGTTCAGTACGTACTTGTTTCGTCGTTTCTTGCTGATAAAATTATTCTTGTAACAGGCACAGCGATGCTACTAGTACTTCAAATGAAATTAAAAGAAAATAATATGAACTACTCCACTGTTTACAATGTTTTTCAATAACATTAAAAATAGAGGTAAAATTCTGCAACTCGAAAAATATGTTTTGAAAGAATATGCCTGATACCACATGCAATAATTATTTAATAATATCGCGCCAAACAGTTTCTACAAGACAATTTCTAGAACCTCTGAAAAATCTCTAATTATTTTCTCCTTTAATAAAAATTAAAGTTTTTTTTTTCATCTATTTCACTGATATTGTTTTATCCTTTTCTGAGGTTCAGTGTTTCAAATTATATAATTTCTGCAACAACGTTAGACTTCCACTAAACATTTCGTTTATGAAAACACCGCCAGTAGATACATTTTTTTAATCGATCAATTTTTACAGTTAAACCTATTTACTTCTTAGCAAAAAGTTACATTTTCATCCGTCCTCCAGACACTTGTTTACAATCCTTTGTTTAAGAAGTGTTGCACACGAAGACTTGGAAGATTTTATACTTAACTTCACAATTACGAAACTTGTGTTAATCTTCTGTTGCACGCAAGCAGACTGAGGGCCTGCTCTTGATTTTCCTCTCCCATTGTCAGTTATCAAAAGATATTGAGTTTTGGCTTCGTGTATCATCCGCATCCTGTGCGATGTATCATATGGCATTGATAATTCATTTCGCGATCATCGCACATGTACTCGCGTCACATATCAAAGTAGGTACCGGAAGGTTAAAATGGGTAGTATAACCATAAGCATCGGAGACAACTGCGTGCTATCAAGATCTAAGATCAATATACTACTTATACAAAATATGCGTCAGTTACAATATTCACAAATGATGCAGAGAAATAATAAGAAAATACTTAATATGCTAGATAGAAGTCTAAATATACATTATTAATTTAAAAAATGTCAAAAAATGTATTGCACAGCAATTTCTCCAAAAACTACCAAAACATGCAAACATACTCGGGAAAGAATGCATTTTTAAATGAATTTTTCATGAACCATATATTTACAAAGTTTGACATCTCTACGAAGCTTAAATAAAAACATGCATTTGCATGGAAATCCTGTCTACTCATAATACTGGCTAACGTCTCAAAAGTTTTAGCTTTGAGCTAAAATGGATTTTCTTGCTTGACTACATCCTCTTGGCAGCTGTCATCTATCGTCGCCCAAACTACATCTTTTCACATTCTCTCAATTTTATGGGTTCCTAACGGAGAACTGAAACACGACTTCAAAAATATTATTGTAGGCTAATACCTCGTCCTATACGGATATTTTCATTGAAAAATTTGGAGCCGTCTTTTGAGAGAAAGTAATTTGAGCGTTTCTGAAAATGCGCATTTCGAAGCTCATTTTCTTCCGAAACGTTTGCGTTATCGAGAAACTTCATCGGAAGTAATTTGAAGCAATTATACTCACAAATGCAATTATGTATACAAATCAATGATTTTATAAATTAACGGCGTGAGAAATACTTCAAAAAAATCATTTGTGTATTTTTTAAAAGCGAAAGAATACATCCATATATTTTGTCTTGTTATGCAGTTCATTTAGCTCTGTCCGTACAAAAAAATATAAAGAAAAAATGGGGCTGTTTTCGAGAAAATGGCGCTTCAGCGATTCTGAAAATGCGGAATTTCGAGTTAATTTCACAGAAAACTTTTGAGTTTTCGAGAAACTATGAGACATGATTTGAAGCACATGTACTACTCATTAATGCAATGTTTATTAATTAATGTTAATTTAATTAATGTAATTTACTAATTAATGTATTGCTTAAAAATCCCGTCTATGTAAATATTAACATGAGAAAGATGTCAATGTATTATACTTGTGTAATTTTTGAAGAATTTTTGAAAAATGTCATCTTGCACAACACTATCTACCAAAAGTTTAAAGTAACTAGTGGTGGTAAAACAGCACGTCCTTTCTCGAATTTAGTAATAGTTATGTATAGGGCACGGGTAGTTATGCATTGAAAACGTAAAATATGTATATAATTATGATTTTGAAACGGGTATTCAGCATTAACAACGCAGAAAATATGTACAATACCAAAAACAATAAAAATGATGAAATTATCATAACTTGCTCTTTTCATCCGTTATTTCTATCACAGAAGATCTAAATTACATTTAGTCTATCAAAATATTGCCAATTATGACCAAACTCACCTGAATTATGGACTGGCACTGTTGCTGAAGGTCACTTAATGTTTTTCCATTACAATTTATAACAATCATCATTTTAAGGTTTGAAAACAGAAACTATTCTCTGTTGCTTCTCAAAATATTTGGACTGGGCAAAACAACGTTCAGTTACTACAGATGTTATTGGCGCATATTTTAAGTTTACTGTGTCTTCCAGCGACAATATTTCTTCAATGCCTGACAATTTGATCTCCATTTTACCGGTCATGATATTGGTAATATTGTAACGTTCGGTAACTTGGACTTTTTTTCTAGTACGGAGTTAAATTTTTCTACTACAAACTTTGCCGTTTTTCCTGACTGAGATTTAAGCTCTAGTAAGAGACTTTCTATTAAATTTATTTTTGTGACAAGTGGCACGTCATATTGTTCGAGCGCTATGCATATGCCAAGCTTGTTACATGAATAATTCAGAATGTAAAAAAATGATTAGATTATATAAATTACAACTTAAAAAAATATTAACATTAAAATTAATTGTTTTTGTATTATTATTGTTATTTTATACTGGTATGTCAGCTTTAGCATGTTAGGAGTAATACATCAATTTTGTAAAATTATGTCAATACTAGCGGAACGCAGCAGACATTGTTTTGCCCTTCATCTCTCCCTCTCTCTCTCTCCCTCCCCCTCTCCCTCTCTCCCCTCTCCTTCCCTCTCTCTCTCCCCGTCTCTCTCTTACTTACACGTGCCACTGTCCCAAGTTGAGCGCAGTTTGAATTGAAATTGGATTAAAAAGGGGCGCAATTATATCCTGCAGGGCCATCTAGTGGAGTTACAACAAAATTAACTGCACATAAACCTTTTGGGTGAAAAAGACGTGTAGATGTGCCAACTTTCATGGAGATCGGTCGTTGGTTGAGATTTTTAGTACAGAATCGCACTATGATGAAACTTTAAATGCATTTAGAAAGAGAAATTTCTAACTTGTGAAACTGAATCCCACTTCCTGTCTTATGCTTCGTTTGCAACCGAACGCAACGTAATACTTTATTTCTTGTTAAAAGCAAAATCAACCGAAAAATAACCACAAACTTTCCACGCATCACGCCCAAATAGACACATTGGATTACGCTGGAGGTTTGCCAACTCTCCAGAATCAGGCGTCGCGCTGATTTCCAACATTGCAGTTGTGGATCCAGTTTTTTAATAAAAAATTGTTGAGATCACTGGTTACAAGAAATCGTTTATAAAATTATATTTTATGGCATGAAAAATGTGTGCACAAAGTGCAAAATTTGTATCATAAAATTAATTCATTTATCCTAAATTATGTGAAGTAAATGTGTGAACCGTTTTTTAGATATGGTTGGTTCATACCAACAACTCTCTTCAATGCCTCCGCTGGAATGGGGAGTTGGAGATTTTTTAAAGATCCCGTGCAAGCTCAGAAGTTCGAACTAACGGAGGACGATTTCAATTACGTGAAGGACATCGCCATCAAATCTGCTCGAAGGTGAGTTTGACATTTTGAACAACACTGTTTTGCCTTTTACTAGTTCTTGTAGTTAATATGAAATGAAATTGCTTAAAAGCTATTTATGTTCTGCATGTTTACATCGTAACAATTCGAGATATATCTCTCAGATTCATATTTCTAAAAAACACATAACAGTCCATGAAGACAGTATGTCAAAATTTGAGTCATGCAAGTTATAGAAAAACGGAATTACTCAAGAAAATAATGAAGTAACTAACAAGCTTTGAAAATGTCTACTGAATCGCAGATACGCCCTCATTACATGGGTACACACTCATCTTTCCTTGGAAAAATTACTTTCCATACACTTCTCAAAATAAATTAGTGGAACTATTCCTTTGTACCTCCCGCCTCTATTTATTTACTTAGCAATGATAATTTATTATAGCGCTAAAATCATCATTAATTAAATTCACACAATTCAACATAAATTAAATCAACATTTTGGACAGTTTACTGTACGTACTCCCCCTTATGCATTTTATACCTAAGCCCAAAATGTTGATATGATTTTCACTTGTTTCTATCGAATTGTACAATCTTAAGGTTATAAATATTATACAACACGATTTAAAGATCATAATAACTGTTATCGATGTAATTCAGGGATAAACGGCATAATCAACACACAAGGGTTGTTTGAAAAATCTTGCATTAAAGTTAAAATCTCAGTCACTTTCAACAGAAGAAACCTACGAACTTGCATCTGTGACCCTACCGTTACCTGCCATTACCAGATTTAAGTGGAGTGTGTGTGGGCGAGTGCAGTTGTAGACAGCAGTTTGTTGCAGCGAGTGCGCGGACGGGCAGTGCAACTCGTGGATTTACGTTCCTCCGTGGTGCAACGCCAGCGATGGCAGCGTCCTCTCTCCATGTGCAACTCTTCTGGCAGGCTACCAAGGTACGGGGAAAACTAAATACTCATTTCTGCAATGCATGTGAAAGATTAGCTACATTGCAATGTTGTAGTGTTTGAATGCATTTAGTCACCTAGTATCCCTGATCGTTGTTAAAGGAAGATACAAGATTTTGTGATTCGAGAGTATAACATGTTCGTTTTCATTTCTTAGATTGTATTTCGTAATAAATCACACGTTAATTCGACTTTTTGACATATCTCGCCATGAAGAATGAACATTTCAGCAAAAGAATGTATATAGGTACTTTATATAATAATTGAATATGCTCGTCGGAACTGTTTTCACTTTTAGAGGACTTTTTTATGTATAAGTTGTGTCAGCCTGTCGGTGTGTTTAGGTGAAATAAACACTCCAGTCTTCTCTATTATTAACAATGTTTATATTGAACAAGCATTTTCTGAGAGCATCGATGCTCGACTACAACCCAATGCTGTCATTAGTGATGACTGTCTGATGTAGATATTTTTATGAAAGAAAATAGTGTGAAGGAAAGTATTTAACTTACAAATAGCAAACACTTCTTACAGTGTACGAAATTTCGATAGCTGATTATAGAATTCAAAAAGGAAAGCTCAGTTCAGTGTAATCAAAGCAGGCTTGTGTGAAATTACTATTGGTTTTCTGGGTTATGTGCTGCAAATACTGTAACATTTAAATTTATTTTTTGTTTCATTTGGAAAAGCAGAAAATGATTGCTTCTCCTCACTATCTAAATAAATACATAAAATGCGCTTTGTTTTGATTTGAATTGGACGTTTCCAATTTATGTCTGAGGTGCTAGTAGCGCAGAAATTGCATATTTGACTATTACACGACTCTTTTCAATAATGCGAGAAAGTATGTGATGTTGTAGCACCACTAGTTTACTTTGTCGCTACTGCTTACGCAGTACAGAAAAAGTATTATAATGCTGCGGGGAAAATGTCTGTTTACAGAAAAACTCTTATTGGCGGGCCCTGGTGACGGAAATGTGGATAAATCTTGCTCCTAACCCTATGAAGTATTTGAGTAAATGTAAGTGTGCGGGTGTGCGGATCCATCACTAAGGATTAGACCACCTCCCATGCACCAACAGAGGTGTTGCATTTGAGGTTCATTCAATGCGTCTCGGTCTCCTGGAGGATAACTTAATTTGTTTTCGGATCCTGCCAGAAGATTCTAACAAATTCTCAAAACGGGTTTTAGCACTGCGACCTTATCGGGTAAACAGAGAATTAAACCAAACAAATATAATATATGTTGGAAACGTTGATTAAACACCAAAAGCAATTTTTGCTTCACGATGCCTTAATTTTCTTCTGAGAGGGTGGCAGATGATCTGGTACATCTGAAACGCACCAGTACTGTCAATACTGATGGAAGTCAAACTTCTTATGTTCAAACAGTACTTGAACTTAAGAAGTGAAGCGTTTCATCCGTATTACCGTATTTTTAATAATACATTTGTAAACACCTTCGTACAGTATTACCTCCAAACGTACTAAAATTTTAAATAACCCACAACATTGAACTATACATAGTAAATTACTTTCGTTAACACATTGTGTACTTTGAATTAATGTTTTGTTTGTCCTTGATATCGAAAAATTAACTGACGGCAAAAGGTGTATGTGTGTCCGTTCGCGAAAACCCTCCAACAAGGCTGTTCGTCATTAGAACTGGTTGATGTGGTCGTGATGTATACACCATAAATCTCATCAAGAAATTTGAATGAGTGTGGGATGTTATGGGATTTGTATCTTATCTCTTTTTCACATATTTTTAATACACTTTATTATTTACCGGCACGAACATTCATTTGAAAAAAAACGTGTTTAACATGAAAAAAATAATTAACCAAGCGCTTATAATTAAGTACATACCTTCTAAAACATGTTCCATTTCAAAATTTAAATGATTATGTTCACAGAACAAAAATATTTGCTTCGACTCCTACTAAAATTTCCGGCTGGCGTGGGTGATGCCGTAAACACAATAGAGCCCTCTGTTCAACCTCAAATACAACATTCACTTCTAAGTTCCGGACACTCGAGATTTAATATTCCGAACAATAGTGTAACCAACCTATGAGTTAAAAATGCTCAACTAGAATTTTTTCGAATTTAGCCCAGGTTTTAGGCATTTTATCCCAATGTGCGTCATTTCAAATTCATTCGCTCACTCGCTTTTTTTTATTTTCTCACTCCCCCCCTCTCTCTCTCTCTCTCTCTCTCTCTCTCTCTCTCTCTCTTTCCCCCATCCACTCTGTCTTTCTTTCTTTCTTTCCCCCTCCACTCTCTCTCTCTCTTTCTTTCTTTCCCCCTCCACTCTCTCTTTCTTTCTTTCCCCCTCCTCCCTCTTTCTTTCTTTCTTTCCCCCTCCTCTCTCTTTCTTTCTTTCTTTCCCCCTCCTCCCTCTTTCTTTCTTTCTTTCCCCCTCCTCCCTCTTTCTTTTTTTCTTTCTTTCTTTCCCCCTCCTCCCTCTTTCTTTTTTCTTTCTTTCTTTCTTTCTTTCCCCCTCCTCCCTCTTTCTTTTTTCTTTCTTTCTTTTCTTTCTTTCTTTCCCCCTCCTCCCTCTTTTTTCTTTCTTTCTTTCTTTCCCCCTCCTCTCTCTTTCTTTCTTTTCTTCCCCTCCTGCTCTCTTTCTTTCTTTCTTTCTTTCTTCCCCCGCCTCTCTCTTCTTTTCCTTTCTTTCTTCTTCCCCCTCCCCCTCTCTTTTCTTTCTTCTTTTCCCCTCCCCCCTCTTCTTCTTTCTTTCCCCCTCCCCCCTCTTATCGTTTCTTCTGTCTTTCTTCCCCGCTCCCCCCTCGTTTGCTTTCTTGTTCTTTCATTCTCTTCCCCCCTCCCCCCCTCTTTCTTTCTTCTATTCTTTCTTATCTTTCCCCCTCGCCCCGCTCGTTCTTTTAGCTTTCTTTACTTTCTTCCTTCCCCCTGCGCCCCCTTCTTTCTTCTTGTCTTCCCCCTCCCCCTCTTTCTTTCTTTCTTTCCCCCTCCCCCCTCTTTCTTTCTTTGGCTTTCTTCCCCCTCCCCCCCTTTCTTTCTTTCTTTTCTTCCCCCTCCGCCGCCGGCCCCCTCTTGTCTTTCCTTTCTTTCTTTCCCCCTCCCCCCTCTTCTTCTTCTTCTTTCCCCTCCCCCTCTTTCTTCTTTCTTTTCTTTTCCCCCTCCGCCCCGCACGCCCCCTGCTTCTTTCTTTCTTTCTTTTCTTCCCTCTACCCCCCTCTTCTTTCTTTCTTCCCCTCCCCGCCCCCTCTTTCTTTCTTTTCTTTCCCCCTCCCCCCTCTTTCTTTCTTCTTTCCCCCTCCCCCCTTTTTCTTTCTTTCTGTTCCCCCCTCTCTCCCTTTCTTTCCCCCCTCTCTCCCTTTCTTCCCCCCTCTCTCCCTTTCTTTCCCCGCTCTCTCCCTTATTTCCCCCTCTCTCCCTATTTCTTTCCCCCCCTCTCTCCCTTTCTTTCCCCCTCTCTCCCTCTTTCCCCCCTCTCCCCTTTCTTCCCCCCTCTCTCCCTTTCTTTCCCCCCCTCTCCCTATCCTTTCCCCCCTCTCTCCCTTGTTCTTTCCCCCTCGTCTCCCTTTCTTTCCCCCTCTCTCCCTGTTCTTTCCGCCCCCTCTCTCCCTTTCTTTCCCCCCTCTCTCCCTTTCTTTCCCCCCTCTCTCCCTTTCTTTCTTTCTTTCTTTCCTCCCTCCCTCTTTCTCTCTTTCCCCCGGTTCGAAGAACTGCTAATTTGAAAATGATATTTTGATTTGAGGGGTACTTTACAGGAAGTGATAAGATTTTCATTTTTTATTCTAAAAAATTATTGAAATTATTTCATTATCTACACCAAAAGACGCTTATCTAGTGGTGCTAAAAATGGCACAGACTCTCTCGTAACGTTTTCTAATGCCCATGGTGTGGGGCTAGCTTTACGGTCTTGCTATATCCTCTTGCCAGCTTCCATCTATCGCCATATAAATCCTGACCACACCGGCTAACCAACTAACACCCACTTAGGCAGCTTCGCAAGGGAAGACAGGATGAGTGCTCGTTATAATTATTGTGATCTTAGAGAGCAGGATTTTTCGGGTGTGAGAAAGTGTATCCAAGAAACAGAAATTAGGTGAAGTCCAGGGTGTATTTTCGTAACACTATTTACACCTTACAAAGCACTGACAAAATAATCACATCAAATCTAACCAAAATGTGAAACTACTTCCAAAATACACTCTCTGGAATCAATAACATACACTTCGTAACTTTGAAATACTCTGAACTGAAAATTACTATTCTCTCTGCACTGTGCACGGTCGGATGCTACGCCAGAAAAAGTTTGTGAAATATCGAGTGAAATTTTCTTTACCCTCTTTTCTTTAAACCGAAGATAATTTACAATAAAAATTCTTATGAATTTACTTCGGAATATTGCAATGAATTTCGCCACACTTAGCATGATATTCAATAATTCCATATAATTATTAATTTTAGCATTAGAAATATTTACAATCAATTTCTTTCAACGATTCACACAAGAATTAAATATATTACACAATCCACAAGGCATTTACTGTTCTTTGCACGATCGGACTACTACAGCTTCTGATTTAGTATTCAGTTTTCCCCTCAATCTTTGTCTATTAATCACTGCAATCGCCCGCTCGCTATGTCGCCTGCCCCCTCAGTCCCGTTACAATGATTCTCTTACGTGTTCTGCGCTCGCCAACTTCTGATCTCAACGTCTGTGCCGTGGGCTCACGACCTTGGACTAGTGCGGCCGTGCCGTCGCCTCGCTCCCCTGGAAACCAGCCGTAAGCGATATATGTGCCGCCATCTCTTGCTCTCTATCCTCTATCCTCTCAGATCCTCGCCAAATCTTCTCATCTTGATTCTTGAAACGCCCGGCACCAAAACAAGATAATCACCTCTTCATCTTTTCTCGCCGTTCTTCTCGTGCGGCACACCGACGCGTATTGTTAAGCTCTCACGCGTGTTTGATAATGGCAAATTTGTTCTTGGCATTTTTTACGACACAC